GCTAAACGGCGAGCCTGGCAACATACGTCCGATTGGGAAGTATCTCCTCTTCGATGCTACCAAGGAGCATGCTACACAACCCTGGCAGGGAGGTCATCGCACGGTGCTGATATCATATCACATTAGAGATGGCTGGAGAGTCTGTGATTCGAGACAAGTGATGCTGAGATCGCTGGGATTCATGTTTTGGTCCGGATGTGTAAGACAGGACCCCTATATGTAGTCACCTTTTAGTTGCTGATCTACGGATCGAACGCTCGTTTGCATTTTAAATTTTGCTCCGCTCCCAGTTGCATGNNCTGGGATGATCAGGATGTACTAAGTACAGCTGTATGCCGGGTGATTCCTCAATCGCCTGTCCTGCTCTGGCCTCGCAAGGCGTTAGACAGACGCTGCGACCACAAAGACAAAAAGATGGTGATGATGGTGCTGATGGTGCTGATGGTGCTGATGGTGCTGGTGCTGGTGCCGGTGCTGGTGCGGGTGCGGGTGCTGGTGGTGATGGTGGTGGTGTTGGTGGTGGTGGCGGTGGTGGTGTTGATGGCGGCGGTGGTGGTGGTGGTGATTGTGGTCGTGGTCGTGGTCGTGGCTGTGGATGTGGTGATGATGATGTTGGTTATGTTTTTGATGATGATGGTGATATTGTCGTTGTTCAGATGGCGATGGCGATGCTGCTGCTGCTGCTGATGATGATGATGGTGATGATGATGATGTTGTTGTTGTTGTTGTTGATGCTGGTGACGCTGATGATGCTGGTGTTGTTGCTGACCCGGTGCTGGTGGTGATGTTCTTGTCCCTGTGAGGATGCCACTGCTGCTGCTACTGCCGATGATGATGATGATGATGATGATGTTGGCACTGAGCGAATGACTACAAGGACGATGCTGATGATGACAATGGTGATTTTGGTACGATGCTGTGGCTGCTGATGATGATCACGATTGTGAGGGTGATGATGGCCAGGACCATAAAGATGTGCATGATTTGGGGGACGCAGATGGTGATGGCCATGGTGATGATGATAAGGATGATGATGTCGCGATGCTGATGATGTCGCTGCTTAACAGTTTTCAGTCGTTGTGAGTTTTCGTTCGGTTAAGCACCCCTAGCGGCCCTAGCCCGCTGTGGACTAGTCATCGTGAGGCGCAGCTTCTCAGAGAGGAATCCACAAGCGAGCCCCGAAGGGCCGCGAGCTGAGCTGGGCGCAGGGCTACTGAGTCTGGTTCAGGGCACAGGGCTTTGCAGTGCATGACTCGGTTGCAGGACCTGGCTGTGTTTATCTTGATCACAAGGTAGGTACTGCAGAAAGAATTACCGTCAGCATGGTATCGGTGGGGGTCGTGGGTCGTGGTGGTGGTGGCGGTGCCGACTACTGATTACCACGAATCCGGCAAGCTCGAGCCACCTATGTGCTTAGCAAGTTGCCTGCGTGAGTGTTGAGCAGGACGCAACGTCCTGTCGCCTGAATGAGCCAGAACCACTCTTTTGTTGCGGGCCCCGGTACCAGCTACAGCCAATGTTAGATGTGGCGACTTGTGGGAAGTTCAGAAAGTGAGGTACTGTAATTAAGACTAAACCTCAATTAGTGTATGCTTTTTGTCAAATGAAGTCCCCCTCTAAAGAGCCACATAGTGGAAGACGCGCTTACACAGGGATCATCTTGGCAGTAACTCAAGGCCTGAGATGGATTGGGCCAATATGGCGACGGCAAGGCCCGGCACATTCAGCGGGTTTGGGCTTTGGGGTTCACGGTTTTGGCACGTCTCGCCGCGCTGTGGCAATGATTCGTTTGCGGCTGCGCGGTTGCTGCGTTTCGGTGGACGAGAGAACGGTTGAACATGCCACATCTACCAATCACGTTGGTGCCTGATTTCACGTTTCCCACCCACTGTGAGACTTCACTGTCCACCGCCCAGTGCTTCACCTTTGAGGCATTGTGGCCCTCAAGCGGCTGGGTGTCAGGGGCCTGTGGTTTGGGTTGACCTGAGATGGCCGGAATTGATGGCCCCAAACCAACACCCAAACTCTCAACCCCAGGTCCTAAGCTCTGGACAGCCCGAGACTTAAAGCTTGGGTCAGCTACGGAAACACCATGCCTTTGCAACGCGGTTAAACGGGGTTTGGTTAACCAGACGAAGCGAACGCGCCCGTGCGCTACTTGTGGAACCCTCCTGCTGGGCGTAAATGTCTCCACGATCAGGTGATGACTCATGCATGGCACACAGACGCGGATGGCACCCGTGACCTCTTTCATGAGGCTGAGTATCACCACTGACCGGCCCGCAGACCAGCACGTGCGCGAAGACACGATCACCGCCGGTGCAGTCACACCCGGGAGATTCGGCCCCAGTAAAACCTTCCAGGATGTTTGCGCCGGCTCATGTTGAGTAGGCTAACATTATACAAAACTATACCCCACAATGCTATTCAAATTATTAAGAGCCGTTTAGCTTCTGCCCACACAGCCGCAAGGCACTATGAGCCCACGGCGCCTGCATATCATAGCGTTACCATAATTGTAAGGAGACTGTAAGGCTGTAAGGGAATATTCCGAAAATATTCCGACCCTATGGCCTGAAGCGCGGAACCCGAAACCCAAACGCCCGAGTCCTAAAGCCTTAAACTGATAGCCCATGCACTCCTCAGAGAGCGCTGGTCACATGACCGAACTCTCTAAAAATCTGGTCGAATCCTAAAAAGAACTTCTAAACATCTGATCAAGCATGCAAAAGAGCTTATAAGCAAATGATCAAACCCTTCAAAGAGCTGAAAAACCCTCAGCCCTAAGTCCTGAACGCCTAAACACCCTAAGCTCCTACACCCTGAACCCCTAAACCTTGAACCCCTGCACCCAAAACACTGGAGTCCCTTTCTGGGAACCCTGTGAAAACCCTCAAGAGAACCCCTAACCCCCTTCAAGGCGGCTCTGGCGCGCCTGCGAGGGAAACGTGCGAAGAGCCGACAAGGCTTTCCTGCAGGCTCGGGGCCCACGGCCGCTACGCGAAACCAGTAAGTCCAAAAGCCCAAAAGCCCTAAAGGCCTAAAGGCCTAAAGCGCTAGTGGCCTAAAGGCTTAAAGGCTTAAAGCCCTAGAGGCCTAAACCTTGAAGCCCTAAACCTTAAAGTTTGAATCCCTAAGCCCTAGAGCCACATATTTACTGGCGTTGCCAAATTCCGGCTGATTAAACGGTGAAAATTGAAGGTATTGTTGCCACAAGACCGCGACCACGAGGAACGAGGACGAGGGGACGAGGACGAGGACGAGGACGAGGACGAGGACGCGGAGGAGGACGAGGACGAGGAAGACGACGAGGAGGATGAGGAGGAGGACGAGGACGACGAGGTTGACGACGAGGACGACGAGGAGGACAACGAGGAGGACAACGAGGAGGACGAGGGGGAGGACGAGGCGGAGGACGAGGAGGAGGAGGACGAGGAGGAGG